GCGTGAGGGGGGGAGGGGGGCAGACAGGTGGTTGGCACGCTGGATAATTCGTTTCCCTCGAGTAATGGTAGGTTATTTGGTTCTTTTCCTTTTCAGTGTATAGAGTTGTTTATACACGAAACTTTTTTCTCTCTTCCATGGCCAATGCGTATAACGAAACTGGTTGAAGGTCTTGCACAGAAACCAATGGATTTCGCCGTTCGTATTTCTGGCTGGTTATAAGCAACCGTCTCGGGCATTTGATTTATGACTTGAGCTTCGCGGCAGCATACCACCTTTCAAAGCTAAAATAGTGCATGATACGTAATCTTATTCGCATATTGACTACAAAAAGCACTGGTGTGTAGACACGTTGCTGCTCATCGTACCTCGCTGCTCATATCATCCACCGGGAAGTATATGCAGTAAATGGCCCCCATTCCTTCTATGGCAGTGCATGGGTATGAGAAGCAGCTACGTATATAAGTGCGAATGCTAAATCATTGAGCCTTCAGTAGAACCCACTTCCTGGCAATCACTTTCAAGGGTGACAAAGGACGTACCCGCATTGTAACCATTGCATTGATTCTATCTCTGCCATTGCATTGCAAAAGACGCTGCATTGACTTTCAACCCGCCCAATCACTCCCGCTATTGGCCGCTGGCTGCTGCCAATGCCGTAGCAACAGGCAGTTCTGGTTTTCTCAAGAGTGCGATCTATTGTTTCGCTGTGACCGCATGACCCCGGCTGATACGGAGAGGCGCAGTCGGTTGTACTCGCGAGGTGCCCCGGGCGAGCGCAAGGCGATTTCGGCCTTCGGGATGGTCGCTGCTTGCTCTGGCCGGAGCTCTTTCTGCGAGAGAGGGAACGGACGATGAGGGTTACTGGGTCTGCTTTGCGCTCGATGGACTGCCGGGCTTTGCGATCACGTTTTGAAGGTTGGGGAGTTGTGGGATGAGAATTACTGTCGCTAACACTCTCTGTCTGTCTGTCTCTGTCTCTGTCTCTCTCTCTCTCTCTCTCTCTCTCTCTCTCTCTCTCTCTCTCTCTCTCTCTCTCTCTCTCTCTCTCTCTCTCTCTCTCTCTCTCTCTCTCTCTCTCTCTCTCTCTCTCCTCTCTCTCCTCTCTCGCTCGCTCGTTGCCCGATCCTCCTCTCTCCCCCTTCCTCCCCTCTCAGCGAACCCACCGACTCGATCTGTCGGAAGGCTCGCGGTTTCGTTCATCAAGGTGGAAGAGAGGACAGAGAAGAAACTTATCCGTCAGTCGCGCACCGCCGGCCGCTACCGTCTGTCCCTACAATAATGGTAGGGTTGGATACTCCCTGTTTTCCATATCGAGGAGTGGGGAAAGTGGTGATTTGCCATCCGGTTGGAGGAAGCGACGAAAGGAAGGAAGAAAGGAAGTAGGGAGGGGAGAAGGAAGAAAGGAAGGAAAGAATGATGTGAGGAATGGTGATGGGAGGAGGAGAGAGGAAAGAAGGGGGAATAGGAAAATGACAAGGAGGGAGGAGATAGGAAGGAAAGAATAATGGTAGGAGGAAAGGTAAAGGAAGAAAGAGAAGAGAGGAAGGGTGGAGAAGGAGAGGGGGTTGATTTCCCCGTGAGACCGGATGTTGGAGGCGTAAATGCGGACTAGAGAAACTGTCTTCACCCCAGCATGACGCGTCATCGATCACACACCCGTGGAGCCTTACTTTTTTTATTTAATTCTTTCCTCTCTAATTATCACGACTTCTGTATCCGATTATTGCAATCATTCAGTCAATTCATTCATCAGCAGGATCAGTGTTGCAGGCGCCAACGTGACTGCTAACGTGCAAGCAGGGATCAGGAGCTGGGGACTAGTTGGTTCACTTGATTCACAGCAATAAAAATCCATTCTCCGCAAGCAAGAAAAGTGCAGATGGAAGGAGGATTTGTTGTTCTTTGTCCACTTTTTTTTCCTCCGGTGCTTGCAAGCTGGAGGCAGAATGACGAGACCGCATGTGGGTTGCTTGCGATTGTGCAATTGGTTTTCTTGAAGTTGCTTGGGTTGCATTTCTGTTCGTGAAGGTGGCGGGGATTTAAAACTTTCGTGATGTCTTGTGATTCTGTGTATATTCAAAGCAGTGATGAAATGGTAATGATTATTAATATTATTCTAGATTTTGAGAGATCCTATAGATTTAAGAGTTCGTACTCATTGGAAGTATCATATTGGAAATTAAAAAAAAAACAGTGATGTTAAATGCTCGGTGATGTTAGCAGATGTTGTTCTGCGGTATTATGATTTCTAAACTCAAACTCTTACTTTGTATCTTATATTTTTCCTTTGTTTTTGGATCGTGTGTTTAGCAAACACACGCATACATTCACACACACACACACACACACACACACACACACACACACACACACACACACACACACACACACACACACACACACACACACACACACACACACATCACACATGGAGGAGTAGAGGAACAGGGACAGACAGACAGAGATGGACGGATAGAGATAGATACACACATTATAT